GAGGTGAAGTGTACTGTTGCTCGAAAGTTCCGTTCATCTTCCCAGTTTTCAGCCGTGCGAGTGAAACGTAGACCCATTCGTCTCTGTTATAGTCTCGCTGACCACTGACCTCTGCGTCCAATTTCCTTAATCAGTCAAATAACTCCCTACTGTTATGAATGTTAATCGAACAATATTAATAGCTTTGAGCAAACTTGGGCTTCTCAATCCACCCCAATATCAAGTGGTTAGATTTTTGATTTCAGACTTCCCTAATGGACAAGTCAAACTAAAACTGAGCTCCTCAACAAATGGATTGTATTCACGATACCGAGGCCCCAAAACTTCTGTCCGACCAACCAGCTTCAGCAATGGCTTAAAAGTATCCTGATTTGTTAGTAGTTGCATCGAAGAAGTGAGACAAGTTTACAGAATCAAATTTGTATCACTGTCCACTGTGCAGTTCTGAATCAAATTATTCTAGCATCATTATGGATCACACCACGATTCTTCATAGCAAAACGGCCAATATGCTATATTCCCAAGCGACAACTATTACTTACACTGAAAATACCCAACCAACATGTCGCATTTTGACATAGGCACCGCTATGTCTCATTTAGTTTACGAAGTTAACTCTTAAATGATGCACCACAAACTGGAACCTCACACAGTTACTCAAAGTTCTACTTGTAACAGAAGAGATAACTTATGAAGTAGGGGTAGACAGAGCTTCCGTATTTGAGAAACAAGAAAACTTACCAATGAACTACACCCCCACATGCTTAAATATCAATATACAGATCACAAAAAGGGAGTGCAACATGTTACTTAATTAGATAGGTTCTCTAAAGTGGGAACAAAGTAAACTTACCCATTACGCAACTTTAATCCCTACAGTTAGTTTTTTTCAAGAAAATTATTTTTATTTTGATGCTGATTTGTGTTCTACAACTTTTAGAGGACTGAAAATAACTGGCAAAAAATAGTAGAACAATTAATGATTATAAAGGTCACCCTAGCAACTATTGAAATAACTAATTAGGTTCTTCTATTTCGGGCTGGAAAGATAGTTTCTGTATAAAATGAACAAATATTATTGACAATATAAGTAGTTACTGAGGCAGCTTTTAAAGTCAGTCAGTAGAAATCCAAAATGGAAAAGTTGAGTGAAATGAGACAAAGTGAATAATTCCATGGGTTTTTTTTTATTGAAAACCAGCTGGGAATAGAGGCTTACACATTTTCTTTTAGGAAATTATAATCTCTTCATGAAATACCTGATAACAAATAAAAGTGCAATTTTCCTTCGAATACCTTCAAATACACAAGTTTCATTAGTTCAAGAGATAATAATTGGTTCATATTATTACTCATGCATATTTTACAGAGATCTGCTACATACAATACATTTCAATATATGCGTTTTGCTTTAAACATGTATTCACAAGATGAAAGAATTCACACAATCATCACAAAGAAAATTGTGTAGATAATTCAGTAGTCTACTATAAATGACTACAACTTACTGGTATTTATAAATTACAGTTTCATTAGAAAAAAACGAATAACCACATTTGTGATATGAGAGACAATAATAATTATCCAAAAACTCGGACAAAAAGAGTACAATAAGCTTTGATTTCATCCAAAGTTCAGAAATGGATGTAAGTAACACTAAGAGAGTTGTAGCTTCACCATCTTTAGAGTTGGTTTCCAATGTGAGGTATTACATCATTATGGTGAACAGCGATGGAATACAGGCTGCATGTGTTGTCCTATTTGGGACTCGTCGTCTCCATTTGCTCCAAACGTTAAAACGTTATCCATTAGGCAACTGAGGCACGACAACCACACGTTCTGCAACGGGTATATAGCGCCGAATTTCTCAACTTCTGTTGGTAGATGGCTCCTAGGCGGATGCCTCCATATTCCCGGATATTCTTGATACTATGTTCATCTAGGTGATCAACAGAGGCTGAGCGATTCGATTCTGTATTATAACGGGGAACTAAAAGTATCAAGACAATAACTGATGCCTGTTACACAAGAGGTGACTCTTGTGCCCTAGTGGATAACACTTTGGCGCTTGAAGCGATGGGTAATGGGTTCGAGTCCCAGTGGGGAAAAAATCGCTTAATGGGATGGATGCAGGTACATACAGCTGATAAGCACCAAATAAGAAGCAATGTGTGTCCTGGCTTCCACTGCTAATCACTAAGATGAATATGATATCATGAATATCCGGCAGCATCGAGACATCCGCAAAAGAGCTCGTCTGCCACTAGAGATTGAGTAATTCAGCCCTGCATAGCAAGGGTAAATTACACGTGAAGTATTACAATTCACCTTCAGTGACGATCTGATATAAATGCCACTTACAGTTGTTAAAATTCACGTAAAATACATCAACTGAAAAAAACTTATGGGTCAACATTAACATTCATTCAACAAGACAAATTACTGATAGAGTATTTGGATATACTTCTACAGATGTATTAGAAGTATACATTATTCAAAGAAATTAATACGAAGTAAATATTTTAATATACATGACATATGAGTCCAAACAGTGGTTATAACGCAAAATGAACTTCAAACGTGACATGAGAGTTCAGAGAGGTAAATGTCCGATATTAAAGTACACTGTACAGCATAGGGATCGATAAGAGAAATTGATACATGTTCACTCAAGTGTCCTTATCATCAGTAAACTTCTGTTTGATGCCACCCTCCGCCCTAATCGGATATCTGAACAACATCTAGCATGGCTGACTCAGTATGGAACAAATAAAAATAATAAAACGTTCAGCGTTTGCACATGTGATAGATACTGGTCATAAAGTGAATACAAATAAGGCTTTTGCAGTTATTTACTGTATAACATCCAGATTTCGGCCTAGTCTACGTATTCGCATGGAACACACGACAGAAGCTGTTATTATACACACACAAACACACACTTCTATAAACCGAGTCTTTGTAATCAGAAGAAATTTGTGCAACCTCTGTCATCACCTTAACCATCAAGGTGAGTTAACGTCTAACTTCAATTTATATCAGCTTTTATCTAACAGACTATAATCTTTCAAGTTGTTATTCATCGAAGACTGACATCAGTTGGAGGAACAAAGGAAACCTGGGAGCACTGGACAGCTGTTTCGTCCTAGTATGGGACTCCTCAGCAGTGCGCACCCACGACCCCACCAGCAGGGATCGAACCCGCGACCTTCAGGTTCCGCGACCAGCGCGTTTGCGTTTGCGCTATATCGTGAGCTAACAGAAGTTGGAAATATGGAGCATTGGATTCTGACCCAGTGGCTCAATGGTAACGCGCTGGTCGTGGAACCTGAAGGTCGCGGGTTCGATCCCTGCTGATGAGGTCGTGGGTGCGCACTGCTGAGGAGTCCCATACTGGGACGAAACAGCTGTCCAGTGCTCGTTTCAATCCTATATGATGTTGCGATAGCATATTACTGAGATCTGTAATAAAGTATACAGCTGAATAGTGCCATATAGTTTCTCATCATCACCTAGCTGACGTCAAATAGTTACATAGTCTACCTTGAAATCAAAAAATATTTACACTATTGACGATAACATAATCATCGAAATTATAAGAAATTCACTAACTGTAATTTCATGAAAATGAATTCTAATGAATTTCCTGTGGAAATAATCTACGAGATAGGTAGACAAAATAAGGGTTTAAAATCTGTAGTCTTCCTCGATGAAGCCGATAAAATGTACATGATACAATTTCTTGACAAATTTTTTTTCGATTTCTCACTTCATTGAAGATACAGTGAACAAAAGTGACAGTTAAAAAGGTCAAAAACTCATTGTAAGTTTTGAGTATGGCATAAAAGTTGTGTATTAGTCATCAGAAAACCACATGACCAGAATTTTCCTGAAGCATATCTAATAGTAGATTAGAAATCTGAGAAACCCTTAGTCACAGGGTAGCATCATGACCAATATTCCTGAAGTTTTCAACCATACGGCTTGGAAAAAAATGACAAGATCACTACTCACTGGCTTTAGTCAACAAGACGGGTACATTTACAATCATGATGAAATCAGCAACTACCTTGGGTTTATTATAGAACGGTTAATTAGCATATTCAACTCAGCTATACACACAAGGTCAGTCACAGTTAGAAAAACAGGCAAAATTAACGTAAAACTTCGTTCATAAGTATATCGGTCCAACTTGCCACACTCCACAATAGTACACAAAGAACAGGTGGATAGAAAAAGACTCATATCGAAGCAGATAAAGTGATATGACAGAATAAACAATATTCAAGCCTTAGAAGACGTTGAAGGGCGAATGTATTTGCGCCAATGCGACCGGTTCCAAGCCATGTCACCAACAGTCCTCAACCGTTGATTTCTATCGTCTCAAGGATCCCAGTCAGATAGTCTACATCTCTTCACCACACGACTCAGAACAACGGTCAGGGACTTCATCGACTAGTGCCACATCTTTGTCTGACCATCCTGAACCGTCTTCCAACCTAATTCAACTCCTAGCATTGTACATCGATTTAGGTGGTGCATCAACATGCGTAACACATGTTCAAGCCACCTCAGCCGATGACAGTTCATAACGTCATCAACTGACTTGCCTACCTTACCTACTACCTTTCGCCTAACCTCAACATTGCACACAATGTGATTCCACCTTACACAAGCAATGTTGCGAAGACACCTATAATCAAAACCCTGTAACCGCTATGTGTCTCCTACGCTTAACGGCCATGTCTCACAACCGTATAATAGGACAGAACGAATTGCAGTGTAGTATACTCATCCTTTGATAGATATTCGGATACCTCCCCAGTCGGCACCACATATGGCAAATACCAGGCTGGTCTTCTGTGTTCGACCTGAGATTTCATCAGCAACCAGCCCGTTCGGGATGATAGTATCCATGACATGACTAGGAAATATTTGCCAACCAAAATGTAGCCAACAACACAACGCAAAACAGACAAGTATATTAAAGAAAAACTCACTAAATCTTCAGGTGTAAATGCAAATACATTAGGTCCAAATACAATACCCAGTGATTCAGTCGACATTTTATTTTCTGTCTGATAAATAGAGACACGACGTAAAAATTGACATAAATGCTTTAATAAAGTATAATTTGATACTGGCAACTGAGCAATTAAATTCTCCAACTGAATTAAATATGCCTCCTGTTTAAATCGATATTGTGAATAAACCTGAAAAACAAACAAACACCAAAAAAATCACGAGAAAAAAAACGAATGAAGTACAGTAAATGAATGAAGAAAGGATCCAGAAAAGTATGCCACACGTAATATACTAAACAACACGAAAACAGTTAATAACGAGTCACCTTAAAGCCCTCCACCCCGCCCAGTTTAACCGCTGAAATAACCAATCAAGCTTCGGTATTTCGGCTAGGATGGTAGTTTTTCATAAAATAACAGAACGCTTTTTGATTACCTCAGCAGTTATCAGAGTGGCTTTTAATTCAGTCACTCGTTAATAACTGTCAATTAAACTAAAAAGATAATAGGTTCAACATAACATCCATCATAAAGTGTGTTTAAAGAATTTCAGTGAATACACTTATTTAACTAGCGATTTAAGAAACTTAATCATTTTGCTTACCTCTGTCTACATTCTGATGTATTAGTGGCTATCGTGTCTCCCCAGTAGTCTAGTGGATAATGCTTTGACGTCTAGGGTGTAAGTACATCCAGCTGACGAGTCCCGAATAGGACGAGATGAGCATCCTGGATTCCACTGCTAGGCAACACCAAGATGTACTAATTTTTTGAGTTTCAAATGTACGGATACATGAAATAAGTGATCATAAACGAATTACACTTATTAATCTGTAGATTTCCATGGTAAGAGTAGTAATGTAAACAGTACAAAACCTTTGCACCGCTTGTTCGGGACTGACTAACTTCCTCAGGACTATTCACCGAATGAATTCTTATCATAGAGAAAAGTTTTTCGGACCAACTAAATCTGATTAACTCGTCTAGTTGTATCGAAACTCCAAAAAATGAATGCGTTAAGGACCTGATCACCAGAACTATACAGTGTAAGAATGTATAGGAATATTTTGAATCAGTGTTTCGATGTTCTCTCAATTAATAATTACCATGTTGTGGTACTTGTAACCAGTCCTAAAAGCTATATTCCTACCTTTTCTCTTATCTTCCCATGTTGTTGCATTCGAAGCAGAATTATTCCCAAATTGACTAAGGTTTAATCTTTATAATTTGCAGATGAAACGGCTTGATTGGGATTTGTCATGTGATTTCAACTGACTATTACATAACACATTCATGGATTTATTTAAGCTTGAGGAAAAACCAGTCTGAAACAATTGTTTACTCAAATATCTCTCGTTTAAGAGTGGAAAAGCAGCAGGAGGATAGTAGGAGCTTGAGGAACAACAACGAACGAAATGCGTTCAACAACCACCTGCATGCTCGTGCAGTAGGTAATGTGCCACACGAATTGTCCGAGGGTTAATTTATACTACCTGGTTGCCAAACCCCAATAGCTGGAACGAGATACGAACCCATGACCCAGCGGTTGAAAGTCATCTCCCTAAACCATTGTGCTATAACTCTACAAACAGAATATAACTTCACTATCACCGTCATCTTGAGGTCATATTATCACGGTCGTTAAGTATAGCTTCTTAAAATCCCAAGAATCTGACTTAACACGGTAGTTTCCATACAGTATAATAAAAAGAGATAGTGTTCAAACTCCTAAGATATTTGAAATAAACATTTATCAACCGTTAAATTTTCTTAATTTTCCATGAGTTTTCTAGCAGACTTCTATTCCTGATTAAAACTAACTTGGATTAAAATATTCTGTCGATGGAAATTTCATTTTTCTGTATTCTGGTCCCTTTTATCACTATTATATATACTTAGATAAAGCATAGAAACAATTTCAGGACTCATACTCTTTTTTCAAAACAAAATAAATGATAAGCTAAGGTCATAACAAAATAAAGCAACAAACAAACGAGCGAACAGATTCCGTATATTCGTGTATGCGAATACCTGCTAATTCAGTAACTTAATACCACCTATCATTAGATAAATTGTTGTGACAGATAATAAACAAACAAATTGAAAAACCATAGCTTTTGAAATGACAGTGAAAAAGTATATAGATAGATGAAGTGAATTTTTTACAGTAGATAAAAATACAACAATCCCTTATTCAAACAAAGGTCAGAGGTGGTATGGAATATCATATTCTCTCGATTGCTCTAACATAACACAGCGAATATTCCGATATCTAATACAGCACCACCACAGGTGAACCTTTTATATCTGGTAACCTTAGAGGTGAAAATAATGATCTGATAGATTTCTCACGCCCTTAGAAATATATCTAGGATAAAGATAATATACTCTCAAAACTAATCGACATTTTACCATCATTAATAATAATCGTAGGAAAATTGATTTGGATTGGGATGAGAAGTCTTGACTAGGCAACCAGTGCGATAATATGATCAAGTGAAAGTAACGCATCACAAAGTCACATAGCAGTCGGGTCTTTTGGTTCAGCTGGGAGAGCACGAGGTTTGTAACCCAGATATCGGTGATTCGAATCCTGCCGTAGCTTATTTCACCTTTAATCATCACCTAGTATCAATATAAGTCTATCGAAACACAGCTATCAGATAGACAGACAAAATCAACGCAAAACCTCACAGACACGCACATAGTTTCAAGCTGCCACACTTCACAGAAGTACACAAAGAATAGGCGGATGGAAAAAGAGTGATATCAAGCTTGAAAAAGTTGTGTGAGAGAATAAACAATCTGAAGATAACGGTTAGTGCGAATATTCGAGCTTTAGATGTTAAGCAGTGAATATACCTGCACCATTGTGACCGATTTTCAGTTCTTTTAACCACTGTTTCCTATTGTCTCATGGATCTCAGCTATGCGGCCTACATTGCCCCACCACGCGAATCAGAACAACAGTCAGGGACTTCATCGACTGGTCTCAGGTCTTTGTTTGGCTACCCTGAACCCTCTATGAACTTAATCGAAGTTCTCTTAGCGTGGCATGCCGAGGTAGGCGGTGCCTTGGCATGCACAGTATTTGTTAAAGCCATCTCAGTTGATAAAGTTTTCCAACCTCATTAATCGATTTGCCTTTCTTGCCTAGTACCCTTCGCCTAACCAAACGCGACGAATACTACATCTGTGATCGAAACCCTGTAACTACTTCATGTCTTCTACTTCTAACGGTCATGTCTTACAGCCGTTTACAGCCTAAACATAGAGGAAATTTAATTCTCAATCGATGTGTAAAATGACAAAAGTCGGGCACCGAAAAATACCCCACATACGTAATATGATAACAAGATGCAGAAACAGATAGTCAGAAAGCAGTAGTCGATGACAAGAGATAAGAGAAAGGTAAGATAAGGTACCTCTGAAAAACTCGCATTTCTTTCACTGCATATTTTTCTTTATGCAAGGGAACAATGAACGCACCTTTGATTCTTTCTTCGTCTCCGAATAAATGGTTATTTTAAACAGCGGGAAAAGGTCGATCTTATTTTATGTCTATGGAGTTCATCAGCATCAATGAGGGATTTGGCATTACTGCGTAACGGTCTTAAAGGTTACATCTAACATCAAATCAAGCGTGAGGACACCAAGATGATATAGAAAAATAAGGCAAAAAGTAATCGAAACCTATAGAAAGTCACGAAAAGAATAGAAGAGGGGATAAAGCAGGAATTAAATTCGCTATGACCATTAAGATAATATATAAATATATCTGAGCCATATCGCCTACAGTCTCGGAGCACCGATTTCGGTTGTCACGCAGACCCCGATCAGGAAGTCTGTATTACTCTGCACTGCTCAAACCAACAGCCAAAGACTCTATGGACTGATGCCACTTTTTGATCCAGTTGACGCAATTTTTACAAGCCTGAAATTATTCCAAGCAAAAGTGAACGACTGGGTAGACGGTCACTAAGAATGCGTCACACATGTCGTAGTCACCTTAGTCGACAAGTTTTTTACAACCTCATCAACTGACTTTCTTTCATTCCCTCAAATTATTCACTTGGCTTCTGCGTTACAGACGTCCTAGTAAAACGACACACGGGCTGTGCTACAGAGCCAATGATCATCGACCATTGGAAGCCTTCTGCCTTTTATAGCCACTTTTCCCAGCCACGTGGCGTACATAACACAGCGAACACTGCTGAGCAATACACTCGACTCTTCAGAGACAATCATATATCGCAACAGCACCACAGATAGCAAAGGTTGCCAATCGCTAAGTGAGCCTTTTGTTGTACGCATACAGAGATTTTCTCAGTCACAGAACCAACAGGGCTGGTTCATCTTCCTAAGTCAGAAAAGTAGTCAACTACCGCACTCCTTACTGTTAGACGAGACAACAATGCAGACCAATCTTGAAACAACAATTTGCATTAGTTTGGTGAGAAAGCACCCAGAAAATTCCCAAATGACCGATAAAAGTGTTTAGAAAACTCTGCATCTTGTAATCAGCAAGACTATATCACCTGCGTACTCTAGGTAAACTAACTATTATCTGAATTGTTCCATTTGTTCTGCCATTCTTTGGCTTTTACATAAATTGACTTGACAATTAAATGTGTAGTCAGATTGTTCGAAATGTATTGCGCAAATACATCACACTGTCCACATAAATTTCTAATTGTACTATCTAAACAAAGTAGTCTCTCGTGATAAGGTCAATCCCTACAATGTCAAACGACTAGAGGAAGACCTCCATAAGTACATCCATGATCAAGTCTTAATAAGAATGGAGAGAGTAGACACCCTCGAAGAAAATCACTCGACGAATACAACTCACCTGATACTTCACTATAAACACTGACCCACCCACGGGTATTCGAATACAAAGCCTTCAATGGAGTAATGTATTTACCTAGTATGTTTGTCAGTGAGGAGCAGGCATAAGACTTTTCGGTCGGCTAAATCGAATGCCACTTTCCCTCAGTTCACGAAACACAGCTATTGTCAAACGTTAGTATGTGTGTGTGACCCAATACCTAGCGGTTGGTTAGGGAATACGGCAAGTGTCAGTCGAAGGAAGTATGCCTGTGTTCTAAAAAACAGCTGAAGGGTGTCGACATAATCGACGCAATCTCGTTTAGCTTTGAAACCTGTCTGGTTCTCTCAAGTTTGCTGCTTTCGAACTCCAATCAGACAGTCCATGACCACGAACTCTAGGATCTTGGACACGATGTTAGTCAAACTAAAGTTTACACAAAAAAATTTTCTCCTTCCTTATAAACTGGAATGATTAGTGAAGTAAAACAGGCTGGTATCAGGAAATAAAGGCAAGGGGTGAGATAAAAAATGATGGTAAGTTATGGTTAGTTAGATTTTGTATACGGCTGGAAACAAGTGAACAATGGGTACCTCCCGGTTGCTCACATGGTGGAAGCTTTTACTGCAAAGTATTTGAAAGAGAAAAAGGGTTAGTTTAATATGACCCTGCTTAAGACCAGTCACATATTACCTTTTTGAAAGATTGAGATGTAAGTTCGTTTGTTTTGAATCCAGTTATAACATGGATACCACCGGTGATGGAAGACTGAAAGGTGGTATTTTGGGGCCAAGCATTCCCATGCACCTTTTTCCCATCGGAAGGCAGCATTAGCATGATACTACTGGTCATCTGAGGGAACACCTTGCTGCTGTCATATCCTAGCCAGCCAGCGGAACGACTTTACCCTTGGATCTCCATTATAGTGTAGTAATTTACGCTATAACGGTGACTGCTTTGTCTTGTCACTTTCCAACGGATCTTTCTGGCATGAAAAGACCTAAAGGAACAAGCGTTCCAGTCAACGCAACTCACTGGATCATTGCGATATGCAAGTCTGGTTAACACATCAAGGTAGCAGCTATCAGTCAGGCGTAGAAAGAAGACGTTAATTGCATCAAAGATTCCTAGTAAGTAGGCAACAAAATAAACTTTATTTTTGGAAGCGAAATAGTTGTAGACATAAGTACCTAGGTATATTTGTCCCCTTTCCATTTGCTTCCTTCTTTTTGATTACTTTGATACTGTTCTACTTTCTTGTTTTTGGCTTTTCACATATGTGAGAAATGCAGAAACCTGATATGACATTCGTTTGTGGGAGACCATATATTTCTCTATCTGTCAATTGTACTAGCTTGTAAAAATATCTTAGTAAAAACTTTTTATGATGTAACGACATATAAATGCACACCAAATCGGGGAAATTTTAGTCATACAAAGCATTTCCAACCTCGACTGCAATACTTCGTACTCGTAGAATGAATTCTCGCTTCACTCTGCTAAACCTGTTTTTAGTAGTACCCATAAGCACTGCACTGGTTATGCTAGTCTGAACTTATGCTAAATGTTGATAAACTGTGAATCACAGTTAAACATCTTACTATCAACAAGCATAATATATTTGACTTTAGGAATTGTCATTTATTCCGTTGAAAGGCATACCTCGAATACTTGACAAGCAGTAGATATGGATTGCATTAACCTGTAGCATGTAATTCACTTACTTTCAGAAATAATGAAGTAGTATTCTCTGGGATTAATCCTCCTGGTAATTCTCTTAAATATAGTTTTAGAAGACTAGCAACAGAGAAGACATCAACTGAACGATCTGAGTCCCCAACTAAACTCGAAAATTCACCCAAATGCCAATAGCTGCCATTCTCATCAACAATTGTACGTAATGCTTCCACTGTCCGTGAGTTACCATTTACGCGAAAATGCCTTCCGACTGTAGACCTCCTTTATTCAGTAGGAAATTGAATATATCAGTTACTACAATTGGAATATCAGTTTTATCACGTTCTACGATTTCTTTTAACGGTGCTCCAAACGTTAAAGTAGGATATTTGGGTAGAGAAAATTTTGCTGAAGGTTTAAGAACTTTTTCGGTACAGGATTCACGTTTATTTTCTTCATTAAACGCTGGATTACCATGACCTATCCAAAATATATATATACATATATATGTATACAGAACACATGCATCAAGCTGATTCAATAATAAAAAGCTAGGAATAAGACATGAGATATTCCTACCAGTGGTGAAATATGAGCAAAGATAATGTTTGCATTTTAAACGATATTGAAGCATGCACTGGATTTCGAAACATATATGAAAAGCACAGGCTATCAGATAACACGTCTACTACTGTGCAAATCCACTAGTTCCCTACTCAACACACCCTTTTTCTCCTCCAAAACGTATTCTAATCTAATACAACTTTGATAAATTGGTTGGTTGCGGCTAGCAGAAGAATCCAGGAGCGATGGGTATGAGGTTCGAGTCCCGGTGGGAATGACATCAGTGGGGTGCAGGTACATCCAAACGACGAGTCCCAAATAGGACGAAACGCGAGTCCTGGGTTCTTCTGCTAGCCACAACCAACCAATTTATCATAATTAACATTCAGGCAATATCGAAGTATCCGCGTAGGAGCCCATATGCCAATAGAGGTCCAACAATTCGATCCAACAAAACAACGGAGAACAACAAGTATTTCAATAAGTAGTATTAATACAACTTTATCTAATAGTTTCATTTCACTTCCAATATCAACGAACCAAAATTGTTACGATGCATATTCAGATAAAGTATGCAAATCGAAATCCACTCAGCAACTTTCTAGCCATATGTACAGTAGTAGGCAATGGACCACACCCATTGTATGAAGGCTAATGATAGTACCTGTTTGCCCAAACCTCGGTAGATGAAAGGTTGCTCAAACCCGTAATCTACTTATTGAAAGTTATTTACCTAAACCAGTGAGCAACAACTCTACAGAACATGTTCAAGCTATGGGGGAGTGCAATAGAACAGTTTTTTCCTATTGAATGGGAGTTTTAACCATACACAGAAACACTTAAACCTTTAACATCTTATTACCAAATATCGCTATTCTTCATTTTTTTATTCTTCTTCCCTGATGGTTTATCGACTTATTTAATGTTAGTTTGATTTAATTTTCTTTTTTGTTGACTTCTGCCTAAATATGCTGATGTGAAATGTGGTTGCTTAGGCTGATACAAAACTATTCCAAGTCCTCTACTGTATCAAACGAAAAATTTCGTCAGGTTTCAATAAAGCTTGTATAAAAGTAGATAAGATCTTATGCGAGCCAACTGAAGAGCTTGACTGGAGGCAAAAAACACTCAGCTGTGCAGTAGAAACGAACATGAGTGAAAAACACAAACCAAACATTTCACTGAACAAATTGAAACCTACCGTCCTAAATATGTCTCTAAGAACGTTATGAACTAATGACTGACTGACAAGGTAGAACCTCGTACACAGGAGCATTGTCTCAGCTTGGTACACTTTGCAGTAGTACACAAAGAACAGGTGGATAGAAATAGAGTGATATCAAAGTAGTAAAATTTGTGTTAGAGAAAAAACAATCTGAAAATAAAGGTCAGTGTGAATACTCGAGCTTTAGAAGACGTCAAAGAGTGAACACATCTGCACCATTGCGACTGATTTCTAGCCATGTCAACAACAGTCCTTAACTAATGATTCCTTTCGTCTCAGGGACCCCACCAAGCAGGTAGTCTACATCCCCTGGAGCGACTCAGACCAACAGTCAGAGACTCCATCGACTAATGCGACATCCTGGTCTGACCACCTTGAACCCTCTACCAACCTAATCCAATTTCCCCCAACCACAGCACATCGAGGTAAGCGGTGTCTACAACTTTAATCAAATAACTATTTCTCTTAATACTTACTTGGACTAGCTTCAGTAGACTAAAACCACACAAATTATTGTGACTCCAAGGAATTCACACCATAACAAACACAGTAAACAATGAAGTCGAACCACTGAGACTTGAAACTATTCCAGTCTATGTATTCACAAGTATAATTTTCACTTTATGGACAACAAATGTTTGTAGGTCAACGCACCTATACACGTAGACTTCTAGGTGCTAACTAGTCTAAATAATTAAAAAATTGTGAATCCAATCTAGTAAATACTTTACCAGCTACCTTTTTTTATACTATACCTTATTAACATTTATTTACTGCTTGTTGCATATCACTTGTCGTCTATGCACATATATGGTGTGTTGATAACACGTATAGGATCTAAACGTCCGTCAAAATAAACGACCATCAATCTAGACTAGTATTACGACTATATATATACGATTATTTAGACTGAGAGACTATTTAAAGCGTACTGTCCGCAACATATCTAGCAAAGATAACTCACCATCGCTGGGATGATAGCTCAAATTAGCAAAGACTAAACGACACTGTATCGATAAGATCTTCATGAAAAAAGTGGCATACTCTTTTTCCGTAATGGTAAACTAATCATAACTAATATGACTTATTTGGAAGTTGAGAATAATATAACTGAATGTTTTTGGTGTTCTTTTGACCGGCAAAGTGACCTACATTCTATGAAAGACCAAGTTGAAAGTACGCATATAACACAACAGACTATGGAGGCTCTGACTGACTTGTAGTAAACAGATAAGATTGCCCTGCTAGGCGAAAACACTGACAAAATGCAGTCTTCTAGAGCCTTTGAGTAGAAACTTGAGTATGTTTGGGATGCCTTTGACTCCCTCTAACTTCAAGATGATGTTTCAGGAATGGTACGCACTAACTCCTAGTTTAAATACAGGGAGTGAAGTAGTAGAATTCGTTAACTACTTTACTGATATGTGAAATTACATCGATCTAAATGGGTAGAATGCTGACGAAATTTGAGATTGTGCATCAAAAGCCTGATTGGAATTTACCAACAATTAAGTCACCTCTGGTCCCAGTGAGATATCTGCGAAAGGTGAAAATACACTCAGCAACCACATGCACGTTCCTCAATTAGACAAAAAGTCACACCTATTGTTCAACAACGGATGATATTAACTAGCTACCCAGACTTCAATAGGTGGACCGAAGCTCAATCCCAGAACCCACTGGTTAGTTGTGTAAGCAAACTTGCAGGTAAATCCTGCGCTGCAGTCCGTTCTATCTTGTTATACGGCTGTGAAACATGGTCGCTAAAAAAAGAAGAGAAGTAGCGGTTACAGGCTTTCGATCACAGGTGTCTTCATATCGTTGCTCGCACTTGGTGAAATCACCTTGTGACCAATGTAAAGGTTAGGTGAAGTGTACTAGGCAACGAAAGAAAGTTGGTTAGTGAAGTTGTAAACTTTCCATAACTGAGGTGGCTGGGACATGTACTCCACATGTCAACTCACCACTTACCTTGATATACAGTGCTAGCAGAAGTTGGACTAGGTTCAGAAGAAGGCTCTGAGTGGGGAGACCAAGACGTGGCATTATAGTATGAAGCCTCTGACCGTTGGTCTGGGCCCTGTAGGAAGATGTAGACTTCCTGACTGGGGTGCCGGATATCATTGGACTCAGTGGTTCCAGATGTTTGGTGACATGGCTGAAAACAGGTTACAGTGGCGTAGACCTATACACTTTTCTCCATCAACGAGGTCTTGAATATTTTCATTGACTTCCACATACTTTGCTCAACTGGCATTCACCTATACTTATCTTTTGCCATCCACTTCTGTGGCAGGTTTTACTTTGACTTCTCTCTCCTTAGAAAGACTCAAATTTCCGAACTTTATGCGGTTCTACGGAGATTAGGACAGTTTAGTAGTAACACTAGACCTTGCACAGTAGATGGGGCTGAAAGCCTAGTGTAAAAACTTGCATGCTACTACTGAGTTTCACCATGGTGAAGATCGTTAGGTAACTGGTGCTGAATGCCATAGAAATAAGATTAGAATGTGCATCGGTTCTAATTTACCTCAAGTAAAAATACTTGTGATACTCTTCGAGACTGGTCATAATAGTTCATAAATCGAGTCCTCTCAATTATGCAATACCCTTATACAAACTGTTAAAGCTCATGTACTACCTACAGCAACTTATGTTACTATTCAACAATTTCACTAGGATTAGTTGTCTTTTAAAAATGAGATATGCACAATTAACAAAATATACGAAATTACAAGCACACCTACGTGATCATTAATTCCTGGCCCCCGGACAGAGATTCAAATACAGTTCGTTTGCCATATGAAAAAGATCCATCGAATCAGAAGTGAAACAAGAGCAATAGACGATACGCCAATCAGTTGATTACTATAAATAGAACAGACTTGGCAATGAATGATAAGAAATCCATTACAATTATTGAATATGATTAAAAATGGATCCGATTAAACACATAAAATGTTAGTTAACGGTTTTCAGAGAATTCATGTGTTAATTGATAGTCCTGAATTGTAGCAACAGACAAAACAAAAGAAACCCATAAGGAGAAAACAGATTGAGAAGTTAAATTAAACGACACTAAAGCACCTCAAAAACATTAGGTAGTTAAAGTGGAAAAGCTGCTGCTAGTGAGCCCACAGCCGATATAGACATATAAACAGTCCATTTACAAAAAACGTGACTGCATGATGGGCGTACAGCTGAAAAAAGGTACAAATGACAACGTTATTTGTCAGTTCCAGCATGATTTGTATACTAACAAACAGCCTCCAACTCTTTAAAAAGATGATATGTAGCGGTTTCTTACAGTCAAATATCAAAATTTGCCTAAGAACGATGGACCAAGAGAGATATAGTTCCCTCTAACTAATCTCAATCGCTGACTATTCCTGACCTCATGACAAAACCTTCATAAAAGCTTGGATGTTTGCAATAACCGTTATCTTCGAGTTACTCATTCCCTCACACAACTGTATCGATTTTCGTACCACTTTTTTCTGTCCACCTGTTCTTTGTATACTACTGTGAAGTGTGGTAACTTGAACCGGTGCACTTGTGTCTGAGGTTGTACGTTAATTTTGTCTATCTGTCGTGAAAAATACACAGGGAACGGTTTAGTTAACATCGTATCTAATATTATATATTTGAAGCCAAATTACCAACTACTTCGAGCTTAAGAACAGCAAACTCTAGATGGACAAAAAGGTTTTAAACATATCTGTAGATATCACAACCAGACTCTGGAATAAAAGTATAACCACTGGTGCCCAACACTAATGTTTCTTGATCTAAAGGCAGTATCTGAGGTGTGTTGTAGTAATGTCTCTCACTCCAAAAGCACTTAGTAAGCATATCACCCTGTTGAGTGATCGATATCTGAAAGCTTGTAGGAGTGGCAGGATCAACGCCAATCTATCCTTTAATGTATTTGCTTGAATAGTTTCCACCAGAGATTTTCGGTTTTTGATTTTATCGCATAGTACTCGTGGAAATCCATCTCATCTGACTTTGCAAAAGATATAACTTGAAATCAATCGAACTTGCACAAAGGTATTCGCGCCTTCACCTATAGTATTACACCTGTTTATTTATTTGCATCTGTTTTTACTACTGTCTCTTACGGTTTCTGAGGATATCAATTATTTATTCCTTCTGTTTACTCAGACCTCTATATATTTACACAGTGCCAGTGAGCCCTTTTGTAGAAACAATCAATCCCATACTACCTGTCGCCGACATCAATATTCACTGTCCAATAAGATTTTTAAAAGATACTTTCCAAATGCTTTGGTGAAAGAAAACGTCTCGATGGTAGCAGCTACGGGGAAGTAACTGGCGGATCACACCATACTTATGGATTTGGGGCGAAATACAATAGGAACGGTTTATAAATGTTTAGTATTAAAAAAATTAACTAACCACTACTTTAAACCTGAAGTTTGAAAACTACCGCTAAACAAATGTGTTACGAGATGGACAAAAATTGTAACTACTGAACTATTTGTACAATGAAATACAATGTCTAAAATTTAGTATTTCATCTTAGATCACGATAAAAACCAGCCATCCAAATAAGTTCGTTGATAGTGTGATCACTAAAAGGAGTTAAGGGTAAGCAGACTAAAACATGGTAACAGTTCATAAATTCTCTAATTGTGCCTGTAAACTGTCAACTATATTGGCTCAGAATCGATGTCAGATGAGTAATTGTCACATTGAATTTTTTTGTAGATTTAACCCTTTTTTCATCTTTTAATGACTTTCCACCACTCTTCATTATTTCCGTAACGTTGATGCTTTGTACCTTCATGCACTGATACAAGAAAGGGACCGTTACGTGGCAATGCCAGGTTTCATTTTGATATTAAGTGACTGACTAATGGCCCAACAAGCTCATCAGCACAAAAACTATCATATCAGTGTGGAAAATACCTAGTTGAGGAGTGGTGAACACTTTCAATTTTCCAATTAGCTTATATTCAACAGTCTGAAACTATTGTAGCAATCCCATGAGCCAAAAAAAGTAAAAAGTGAGCAACACGGGGACTGTGAAGTAATCGACACTGCAAATTAACGTGAATCCTTACATACAAGTGCATCCGTTGAAATTTTCACACTTCATAGTAGTATACAAAGAACAGGTGGACAGAAAAAGAATGATATTAAAACAGACAAAGCTATGACAGAATAAACAATTTGAAGATAATGCTTAGCGCAAATACTTGAGCTTTAGAAGACGTCAAAGAGTGAATACATTTGCTCCACTGTGACCGATACTCAGCAAAATCACCAAAAGTACACAGCTACTGATTTCTATAGTCTTGAGGACCCCAGCCAGGCTGTCTACGTTCCCCTACATGGCTCACATCAACGGTCAGGGACTTCATACTATAATGCCACGTCTTGGTCTCCCCACTCAGAGCCTTCTTCTGAACCTAGTCCAACTTCTGCTAGCACTGTATATCAAGGTAAGTGGTGAGTTGACATGTGGAGTACATGTCCCAGCCACCTCAGTTATGGAAAGTTTACAACTTCACTAACCAACTTTCTTTCGTTGCCTAGTACACTTCACCTAACTTTTACATTGCTCACACAGTGATTTCACTAAAGGTGAGCAATGCTACAAAGACACCCGTGATCGAGGACCTATAACTCCGTAATTAGCAGTCATTAGTCAACTTCTGCAAAAATAGAAAAATGCCATATCTCGAGACAAAAATATAAATTACGGTGACTCTAAGGCATCACTAATTGGAATTTGTAGACACGCAGAATGACAAAAAAAAGCTATGGAGCTGTTAGAACACTATGAACATCAAAAGAAAGCTATAAATGAGTACGAAAAAAATCTACAGAAACCAACCGATCCAACAAGGAACTGGGAGGATTAATTCGGAAGTGGCACATTTCTAATTTAGTTCCTAAGCTCAATATATACTTTACTCCGTCTACTACCTTGATTTCTAAATAGCTTAGATAGACACAACTCATACAAAGACTGTAATATATTTCCAAAAAAGTGTCATGAGTCACGTCATATGGGGTCAAACTTATAGAGTCAGAAAAAGGTACCACTAAGAATATGAAAAGACCTGAAATGTCTGACTAACGTTGCCTTAAAACACAGGACATTTGTTGTACAAGTAAGTCAGTAACGTAGTGTTAAGTTTTAGGTAGAATAGGAAAGCAAGTTAATGCAGTTGTGATTCTTCGACGGAGATGGCTGAAACGTGGGAAGCTTGTCAAGCTACCATTTACCTTACTGTACGGTGACGTTTGAAGTAGGTTCATGTTAAAAAAGGTTTACAGTGACCAGACTAAAACATAGCATCAGTCCATGGTTTCGACTGTTTGTCTGAGCAATTTAGAGAAATGAAGACTTCCTAGATGGGGTCAGCGTGAAAACTAAAATCTGTAGTTGCAGACTCTAGGTAACACGGCTCAGAGTCGCTTGCAATAGTGACGAAGTATGCACACATTATTTTAACCGTAATATCGAATTTTATTCCCGTTTTTTTCATTTCTTCCAACCCTTCGACGACTTTCTCCACGTTTTGATTACTTCTTGCCTTACTTCTCTGTTTTTTGTTTTGGCACCTCACTTGATGTCCCCGATTGATAGCTACAACCTTGATGCAGTGGTCAGACTTGCATATTACGATGACCTAATGAGCTGTGCTGGCTGGAACGCTTGTTCCTTGACATCTTACCATACCAGAAAGATTTGTTGGATAGTGGTAAGAGAAAAAGGAGTCACTGTGGGTGCAAATTTACTAAGCTATGATGGGGTCTAAGGGTAAAGCCATGCTGATGGCTGGAACGGGTGTGACAGTAGTAAATTGTTTCCTTCGGACTGATGCCTTCCTTATGGGAAGGGGGTGAGAGAAGGTTGGGTCACAAATTGCACACTCCACCCCCACGTTGTGGTATTCCAATACAGATTTTTTTTATCCGGCCTTGGAATAACCAAATCCCAAACCTACAATACTCAAAAGGGTGTGTGGCAGGCCTCAGTCAAGTGTTCAATATGCTCTGCGGTCATGTAAACCTTCCTCTCTTACTGATACTCTGCAGAAACAACTTTCATGGTGTAGACAGTTAAGAACTACCAAACGCGCACAGGTTTCCAGTATCATACAAAACCCAAATGAAAAAATCCCATCCTCTTTACCTCAGTTTCCTTCTTTGCCTTCACCCCCAGGTACAAATAATGAGCTTCTTAAAGCCTAATCAACCTCTCACTCTGCCATTGCCAACGTTCCAAGTCTCCTAGGAGCATGCTGTCAGTTTCATACTGGATCCCTCAACGTTAGAACCTTATGTCAAGTCGGCCTATTAAAGATACAAACAAGAAAAAGATGGTGAGTGAAATCCTTACGGAAAAGGATAGGACGCTGACAACCTTTCAGGACGGGTGGGGCGAACCTTGGGTGGGACACTTTGAAGCATGGTTTAACTGCCCCACAGCAACACCTGTTGTTCAGCATCCAGCCTGAAACTCAGTGGCAGACAGATGTCAGTCGTTCAACTTCTCGAAGTTAAAAAGGATGTTTGAAACCCGAAACGATGCAAAGTAACAGCAGTTGACGGTTTTCCACATAAATTTATTGAGAAGAGGTAAGAAACTACTGAGTAGAGTAACAGAGCTACTGGGAATTCAAAGTAGTCCCATCTGACTGGTGTGCTTCATCGATCATCCATCGGTAAAATAGAAAGGAATTCTTCTTGTGACAAGCATAGAGGAATTAGTTTGAT